CCCCTCATCAGTAAGCACTGTAATTAGTAGCATTTGATGTCACAAACAAAATCAAGGCCCAACTGCGCTAATTGCAAAAAAATACACACATGCAAATTCTTTGCACAAGGTGAGCTGCTTTCTTAGGCGCCCAGCCATGCTTTGCTGAGCTGGCTGAGCACACAAGTGCTACCCTGTAACGCTCTTCCCTGGAGGGGCTGATAGTAGGACTGGGACCAAACCCATCACAATCCCCAAACTCTTGGAAACCAAAGCCATAATCACTGTAAACATTTCAGAAAATTGTAATGTTGTGTAATACCTAAAATACCTGCAAAGGATCATTTCTTCCCCTTCTCGCCCCCGCAAAAAAGGCTTATGTTATTAACGGACTAATTATCCAGTTAGTCAAGACACAATGGATGCTAATTTATCCATGCACCCTCATCTGCCAATGCACTTCCACTTCTTACCTGATTTTTTGCTTCTTTCCTTCAGCTGGCTACTTACCTTACACTGTCCATTTAATTTTCCTTCTTTGCTCTCTAAGGTTTCTGTAAAATCCTTCCTTACTTCCACCATCTTTCTTCCAGCCATTTGCCAAGCTTCCCTGAAATCTCCTCCTCTCGTGTGCACAGCAGTCACCCCGAGATCTGAATGCAACATTAATGACATTTGCCGTGGCAAGCTGTTCCTCAGAGCAGTGCTCTCTGTTTCTACCTGCCACCAGGTAAAGATGAGTTTGCTTAAAAATATTCCTAGTTTGGATGGGGTAAAAGGGACTTGAGAAACACATATAACCCAGGTAATTAAAGACCTTGCCATGACCACATGGTCTGAAGCTCTAGAAAGCCAAACAGACCTGAAGAAAATCCTCCCTCTCTGTAATTGCTGCCTATAAATTGCTCTTTTATTAATTATTTATGTGTTTACCAGCTACTCCCAGTTAGAATAATCACAGCTAACAAGATTATTATCTTGTGCTAAGTGTAATTAGCAGAGATAAGAAAATCAGAGAAAAATATAATTTACCTGGCATTAGGTGCACAAGCTTCCACTAACCACAGGTCCTCAGATGCGATCCCGCACATTGGCTGCACTTCAGCATTTTGCAGCTCTTTTGTAAGAGTTTCAGATTGTGAAATTTGCACTAAGACCTCTTGCAAGCAAGCAAAGCAACAGCATCCTGAAGAGAGAAGCTGCTTCTGGGTATCTTTTCCATTTTCTTTTCTGCATCTTCCCTCTTTCTGTTCTGCAGGAGATTTTGTAAAAAATACTGAAATCAACTCTATTTACATTTTTTATTTTAATATTGAATTAATTTTGCATTTGCAGTGCACACAATTCAAAACCCGGAGTTTAGATCCCCTGAAATCAACGTTAAAATTATCTCTCTATGTCTGCTTAAGATTTCCCTGGGCTTTTTGGATCAATGTAAATTTCCCCTCTACCCAGAAACATTCACCACCTTTGAAATTTTGAATTTCTGGAAAAAAAATGCAATAAACAACTGAGCTGAAAGCTGACGTAATGGCTTAAGTGTGAGAATTTTGTTTGTTTGGTCCTTTAAGGGAGGGAATTCTTGCCCAAACACCATTTTTCTATTGGAAATAAGGAGCACAAACAAGAGAGAGGAGGGTCTCTTTCTATCCTCCTTCTTCTAATCTAATCTAAACTAATCTAATCTAATCTAAAACAAAGCAGAAGAACAAGGCTACCAAGCAAGGTCTTGTGCACAGAGGCCTCAGGAATGGGCAGAGACTTACCTGAGGCTGCTTAGCAGGTCTGTGATAGAGCAGAGGCAAGAACCCAAATTTCAGGGGTCCCTGTGCTCTGTCACAGGGCTCCATGCTCCGGCCACAAGGGTCCCTGGGGGACAGAGACAGCCCAGGAAATGTTTCGGGTACGTAAAAGCTTGACTACGTTTTCAAAAGCCAGTTTTTAAGTAATCTCTAGGCAAAACGTATTTAAAAACAGACTGTATGTTTATGCAGGCAAGCACACGGGGCAGCGCTCCCAAAAAGCAACTTTTAGAGTAACAGATAGGGTTTCTGATTTGGAAACACAGGGTAGCTCTACAGCACTTTCTACTCATCTCCTCTTCCCCAGCTGCAGGCAGAATATCTTGCATGACCAAAGAGCCGGTTTTTCCCGGCTTTTTTTTTGGTTTTGAGAAAAACCAAAGTTCTCGCTCAAGGGCAGGCTTAAACTCCCGTGAGAAGATGACCTTGTACTTTTGGGTGGGTTTTTTTTTTTTTTTTCTCCACAGGCCCTGCTCCGCTCCCTGCCCGGAGGCGGGAAAGGCTGCGCGCCGGCAAACCGCCTCCCCCCGTCCCCGGCTCCCGGCCCCGCTCTCACAGCACCATCTACAGACCGAGAGGGAGAGAGCGGCGGGGAGAGCCGGGCGAGGGAACGTGGGGAGGGGAGAGGAGCCTTCCTCCCGCTGCCCCCCACGGCAGGGGAAGGGAGGCCGCGCTGTGAGGGAAGCGCCGGAAGGGCGGGAAACGCCTCAGCCGGTCGGGACGCTGTGAGGGAAGCTGAGGCCGGACGCACGTCGTGTCACTGTGGTGAAGGGCTGCAGGCTCCTCCGGGCGCCTAACCTCCTTATGGCTTGTCTTTTTCCCTGCCGTCTCATACCCAAAAAAGCGACCGAGCCCAAACTACCTGTAAATACAGGGGATGTGATTCTGGAAGCCAGGCTTCAAACCACCACCCAGGGGAGCAGCACAGGCACTCAGCTTCGTCTGCAAACTGACTTTTCCTGACAAGGTGGAGAAGCGGTGAACACGTGCCGGTATTGCCGCTTGCTGCTGCTCCATACTCCCGCCAAGTACAGACAGGATTTCTAAGTTACGGGAAGGTTCATGCAAATGCTGCTTTTCTTCAACAGAAACCAGTCAACTATGTTGCTAAGCCCAGCATAAAACTCATTTCTGATTTTGAACTGACAGGTGCTTCTCCGCATTCCAAGTTACCCCAGGATCCCCTCTGCCAGCCCTTCGCAGGTTTGCTCTCAGCGCGACTCCTTCCGTTCCCCTCCTCTCAGAAACCCCCATAACCAGGTACCACCAGTACGAGACAGCCTGCGCAAGCTCCTTTGGAAACACTCAGTTCCTGAAGGCTTATAAGACACTTGAACTTTACTTTTCGTCACAAATAATCAACTACAGTTGTCCCTCGGCACTTCCAGAACACATTTTCCTGGGGTTTGGTTTCCAAAAAGCCTAAGTCTGCAACACTCCTCTGCCCACCCCCTACCAGCTCAGGGAAGGGCCAGCTAAATCCCTCGGGAACTGAGCTTTCTCAAGGAACACTTTAACAGTTTAAGCTCCATTTCTGGAGGAGAGGTCTAATAAGAAACAATATCCTGGCCCTTATCCATACTGGGTTTATAACACACATCTGACTCCTCTCTGAAAAATCACAAGGGGGTAGCGGGGGCAGGTGGAGAAAACCTCTGCATGTTACAAGAATTTTGGTCAACTTTTCTGTGCACCTGAAGACTCAGCCTTTTTTATTTGTTTTTGTGGTCAGAGCAAGTACTAGTGGGAGGGAAGAATATGAAGCAAAGGACTTTTATAAACGTACTGCTACTCAGAAGGCAACTTCTCCCCTCTTTCACACTAACCTACTTACAGACCATTTCTTCTACTGCAGTCCTGACACCAGAACCCATTCAAGCCAGCACACAAGTGAAACATCTTCGTCACATTTTCCTTTGCTAACCCAAGGACTTGCCTACACCAAGATGACAAATCCTCCCTTTTGCAATTAAGGAGGGGGGAATTAACTTACCATAGAAATTAACTCCTTGGGAAATGTCTTTTTTCAACTATTGAATTTCCAGACTGGTTGGGGGAAAGGGGGTATTTAAGCACATGTTCTTACCTTGATGAAGTTTCTCTGTGGGAGTTTCATAGCCTATTCATTCAAAAAAGCTAGGTGGAGTGTTTCATTTAGGTGGTATGATTTCTTTTTAGTGTAAGTCACCATAAAAAAAACCCAGTAAGGTCTTGACAGAATAAAACACCTCCTAAGACAGTGTAGGCCTATAGTCCATGTGTGTCCCTAGGAAACATCTCCATTCTACTTGGACTGACCTGTGAAAAATACTTAGCATCTGCTTCTCCATTCTCACTGTTGAGATTTTTTCTTCAAGATCAGTCAAAGATTCTCTGCCTCAGGACAGTAAGCATGCCCATACTTTCTTAGAAGTAAATCTGATTTTGCTGTTGTATCCAAATCTGTATGCAGAAATATTTACATTAACTATTATCTAAAATCTAGGAACAGGCAAAACCACAGTTTATTCTGCAGCAAGTGCCCTGCTGCTTATGTTGCCAACCCATAAATCTAGTCTGAATTTTAAACTGACACACAGAAGTGCCCCATGACTGGAAGTCACTCATGTGATACTAAGAACAAGATAATAATTAACTCCTCCCACACGAGAATTGATTTGTGCACGCACTCAGGTAGGTAACTGACCTAGTTATATCTAAATGGAGTAATTCAGACTGCTTCTTCAGAAATCTTAATGGTCTGAAAAAACATTTACATACAACTTACCTAAATATTTGAGACAGTATTGACTGAGTAGTCAGCAAACTCGACCTGTTCTTAGAAATCAACATCCTCCAAGAGCAGCAAATTAGCTGCAGTACAGGAAGGACTACCAGGCTATCAGGCAAGTTGGAATTACAGCAAAAAAAGACCCCCTAGATTTTGAAGAAATACTTAATACATTGGTGAAAGACATTTGATGGTAAGAATACATACATGCATGCATGCGATTTCAACAAAAAGACCTGAATAATTTGGGTAGTGTTTTGCTTCAGTATCATGAAACTTGTAGTGAGAGGTAATATAGTTCACTGTTTGTTGCTTCCAGATCAAGTCCAAAAATTGTATTTCCCCTTTTTCCTGAAACAGTTTTGTTTGGAAATACATACCAGAGCAATAGCATACACAAAAGACAGACATAGGTATCTATATATACAATTTTCTTTTATTAACAAGGTATGTCATTACTGAACAAGGCAACTGGGAAATACAAGGACTGGACATACACATGAAAATTTTACAGCTTCACAAAAAATTGGCATATGACTTATATACAGATGTGATTAATAAAGGTTACAACTCTACTGTATTTGATTAGACACAGTCCTAAGCACTTATAATATGAAAATATGAAGTTGATCATACAGAGGTCAAGTTCTAGAATCTGAAAATAATAACAATTTTAAAACTCAAAACCTTCTATGTCCATCCATTTTACAGAACATCACTACAGCTTTTCCTACTACCATATACATGAAAGATTATCAAAAATATATCAATGGGTCTATCACTAACCATGAATGTTTGTATTTACATTAAGTTAGCAAATTCTTCACCAAATATTTTATATACAAAACTCAATTTGCCCTTTGTGAAAGAGTCATTAAAAAGTTAAAAACCATAGAAATGCCAGTTAGAAATAATGCATTCCAAAAATTGGACTTGTTTACAACAACTGAGAAAAATTTGAAAATAATTTATGAAAAAGTACATCATTTTAGTACATGTACTCTCACAACACTTTAGTTCCAATACAGAGTAGCACGAATTTTGTCCTGTGTGTTGAGTGGTATCTTCTCTTCCAATAGCGCTGCAAGAAAAAAGAAAACAAATTATTCTTAAGCAGTTTGTCCTGAGTCTTTGAAGAAGGCGGCAGAAATAATCAAGGGACCAATATTCTTTTCCCCCTTCTCAGTGCAGGAAGCCCTAACCCCATTTGTATTGGCCCAAATACTCAGAATTCTTATTTCTTACTCCTTAGAGGCTAAAAGGGGAAGGAAGAAAAAAAAAAAGAAAAAGAAAAAAAAGAGAAACCCAACAGCCTCCATACTTTAGTACTATTCAGAAGGCGCACATCCTTTTGCCAGCAGTGTTTTTGAGTATGATCTTGACTGATTTTTGTATTTGACTATAATGCTTTTGCAGCATGCTTTGAACACCCCTAACAAAATCAGTCTTCTCTGCCAAACTAGAAACCCCTCCAACCTGTCTCTCAATTGAAAAAGAGCTTAGACAGGAACCAGACGTTCGCTCTGCAGGCACTTCTTCTACACAGACACGAGCACCTAAGGAATTCTGCAATACAAAACATGGATGCTGAATGAATCTACACATACTAAGGATTAGACAGCTACTGAAACATGGACTCTCTTGGAATTACGTTCCACTCAGGCCCATCCGAGTACCAGAAATCAGTTTGAGAATACAGAAGCACAGTTTACAGTGCTTCCAGTACGTGAGAAAATAGCAGATGGATCAATCGCTAAGGTCTCAGCTCACTTCAAGTGACAGGCATTATGGAAACAATGCTGTGGTTCTTCACTGAATCAAATCAGTACAACACAATTGTTCATAATGCACCACAATAACTTTGTCAAAGTGCTGACACCACATAACAAGCAAAATTAGATCTTGTTGTCAGTCAAATCCAAATGAAGTGGATTGAATTTCCCTTTTTATCTCTAGAGATGCTGAATGCATCTTCTATGCTTGCTGTATGAATCTCCATCTTCCAATTCCTTCAAAGTCTTTCCATGTGCTATTATCTCGCCTGTGTGCTATTCTTACTCTTCAAACTCCATAAGGACCAACTCTTAATTTGTTTTTTGTAAAAGATAAGGATGGAATGACATCTCAATTGCCTTTAATCTATGCAGCTACACTCCTAGTCTTGAAATCTTGCCCTCTCTTGTTTCAGACAGCCCTCTATTCCTTGGATTTCCTCCTAAGTAATTCCTCTTGTCTTTCAAGTCATCTTCCTTATTCCTTTCAAATCAAGCTCACTGGGGGAAGGGATATAACATCTTTGGCCTTCTCTTTTCTCTACCCTGTTCCTAAGTAACTTTATCCAAAACACAAAATCCAGTTACCTTCTCTATTTTGATGATTTCACACACACCAAACTCTTTCTTCAGTTTACTGCTTCTCTCGACACATCTTCACACCTGTTCATGTATGCCTATCTAGCAATGCCTCCTTCTCCAAATTCAGGTACTTTTCACCACAGCTTTTCTTGACAAACTTCAGCAATCTGAGCATCCTGCTTCAGTTACAGACCAATGACAAACGCTCACGTCTTCAAATCTTTCTTGTCCCTACATCTTTACATGCAATTAACTACATCAGCATTCTGCAGGTTTTCTGCAGTCTCCCTCTAAAACATGTTCTGCTTAGTCCACTTGCATGTCTATAACTCTAATCCAGGCCCTGAGCCTTTCCTTTTAAGTTGTGTTAGTCTTCTGATTCAGGTCACCATACATTCACACAAACAGTGCTGCTGGCACAACTTAAGATGAGATGTGGGAGCAGAGAGTAACTGAAGCTACATAAGCAGCTCTGCTAATGTAAGTGAAACGACAGTTTATCCATCTCCCTTTCATTAACACCTTGATCTCTGTCTGATAATCTTTGGTCTGGTTCTATTTTTATAACTACTTCGTATCTCATACTTTGTAAACTCTCTAGAGCCACGATTTTGTGTCATTTGTACAGTACCTGGAACTGAAATATTTACAGCAATAATTCAGGATCTTTCGCATTGCAGTGATATGAATGTTATCATAGACACAAAATCTGTGCAGGAATTTACTCATTAACAGGGTAACTTTAAGGTGTCTCAGATCTTACCAGTTTAATTTGTGCTCTGTCGCTGGACTTTTGGTCCAACGCTCTGAGTTTCTTCTTCTGGATTTGGGCGTTTCCCTGCACTAATGCCAGTACCAAGGGCCGTTCTTCCTGATAATTTAAAACCAGTATTTACATTAAGATTCTATTGCACCTTTATATATTCAGGAAAAGCTTTTCAGTTTTTTTGTTGTTCTTTAAATTACCTGCTTGCAATAAGTGTGATTGCTGATTGTCTCCATGAGCATAGTGTAAGATACTACTTGCTTGACAGTAACCTGTTCAGATACAGTAGATATTTATTAAATAAAATTTAGAACTGCAAGCAAGTGTACAACTACATTCTTTACAACAACAAAAAGGAGCCAATTGAATTATTTTCCATCATCAAGAAAAATCCTGCCAGAAACCATACTGAACGCAGAAGAGTTCTTATGCAAAAAAAAAAAAGTCTTCATGGCAGTCTACAGCAGTTAAATATATATGCACTTATCCACACACAGTGAACAATATTAAGTGCATACATGTTCATGTGTTATATTTGCAACAAGCAGAATGTTTGTATATCCAAACACTTTAATTCCAAGTTGTTATAAATTTTAACATTTGTTCTGCCAAGTCTCCTCATCCTTTTTATTATTCTGTTATAGTAATACTAGCGAATCCTTAGCATAACTAAGCTGTGAAAAAAAAAAAAGGCAAGTAAAAGAAAGATGCAGACTATTTTCTGGTTCATGTAGACTATCCACCTTGACACTGAGCGCCCTGCATGAATAATGCAAATTAGCAAAAGCAGTTGCAAGGTTTCTTTTTCTGGTCAGTTGTGTTATGTTCTGGATGCTTAAAACTCAGATTACAGTCTTTCATGATCAGTAAACACACAACCTGTTAGCACCGCAAAGAAACAAACAGTTGCGCTAAATTTGATTGCAACTTTGATCTATCACAAACCACAGCTTAAGTTTCTGTATAGTTACAGTAACAAAAATTTGCCTCCACAATATGAGAATATCCACACAAAACTGTGGAAATTGATTATATATGGAAAGAGTGGTAGTGAAATCAGGGAAAAGATGACATGCAAGTTTTGCTATCAAATACAAAGTGAACTTTTTTCTTTCAGTATCTTTCATTTAAAGTAACCTAGAAAAATGTTTATTAATTTTTGTTTAGTCACATTTGTGATCCCTCCCGCTCAAAACATACAAATATCATTCTAGAAGAGTATTTTAGAGATAAAAGTGACAAGACAAGCAAGTTCACTATAAGAAACAACTTTTATGTTTCAAGAACAGAAACAAGGCCAGTTCAAGTTGTAGACAGCAGCTGTCACCAAAAATCTATCCATGTTATTTTGATGTTTTGTCTGTTTTTCCATAGTTGCAAGGATTTGGAGATCCTCTACAGACAGGCACTGCCATAATACCTTGCTGCTGAATTCCACTTGCTCCTGTATGAGAGTCTCCCAGGGCACATGGCTGAACAACCGTATGACCATCACCAGTTCCCAGCTGAGCTCCTGGAGAGGTAGGAAAAAGACTTAAACATAACAGAAGATACAGTTCCAGTTCTGGAATTTAAAATGTTGGGGTTTTTCCCCCTCTTCAAGAGGGGAGCTTTGACTGTGGCTTGCTTCCCCCCCCCCCCCCCCCCCCCCAACACCGTCCCAACCCTCAAACCTTTAGTCTTTCCAAATTCAGATTAATACACAGTAACCTTCTACAAAATGAATACATTTTTAATGTGAAAAATGTAAGTACATGTATACACTTTTAAGTATTTATGTATACATTTTAAGGAGAAAAGAGTGCACATAATGTTAATTTTTTAAACTAAGCCCTTCCTGTCTTCTAAATCTCTGAACTTAAAAAGAAATAAAAGCTCAAGCACCCAGCTTTAAGGGGTCTAGACTTTAATTCTTCGAGAGGAACTATACTGGCTGAGAATAAGGTCCATCTTCCTCCACAGTCTGCTTCTAACCTTGACTAAAGCCTAAGGAGAACACAAACCCAGTAAATTTCCAGTTCTGCTGTATCCTTTTACAATGAGGAGTCCAAGGTGTATGTAGTATTTGAGAAGCTGATGCACTATGGATTTACGCAATGTTAATACTGTTATTATTTTTCTCTTAGCAACTAGTTAATGCTACTCGTTGTATGTTACAATAAGAATGTTAATAATCTAATTTTCATCAAAACTGTATAAATTTTATATTAAATTCTTTCAGACACTGTCCACCATATTATTGTTGACATTATGGTAGAATTAAATTCCAATAAGAATCTAATGCCAGCATTAGAAAACTTTAAAAATTAACAGTTCTGACTTGAAAATTCACAAATCACTCATCACAAATATCAGGATGCTTATAGACTTCAAGAAGAAAATCACAATCAAATGCTTTTGAAATCAAACTGTTTGATACATGTTAATAAGTAATTTTCAGGGGGGAAAAAAAATGTTAAAAAATTCTTACACATTTGAGATAAAAAAATATCTAAAGATGTCTATACACAAATACTACCAACCTTAGTGAATAAATTTGAAAGTGTTTGTGACTTGCACTGGAAACTGTCTTGTGAAAACAGTTCTTTCTTACAATATATAATGCTAAGGGCATTATAAAAAGTTCATGCAGTTCAGTTCCAATAATTCTATGTATTGAAAGAATTTGACTGACCTCCTGTACTACCACAACCAGAAATGCTTTCTCCTGGTGAATAGCCCATTAGGCCACCATTTCCATTTCCATTTGGATTAGAAGGCACTGTTGCAAGAAGACCTAAGCAAAGAAATAAAATATATAGCCATTAAAAAAAAAAGACGGGGGGTGGGGGGGGGCAGAATTTAAGCGTAGCATGCTTTTTTCCTCATAGTAGCCAATTCTCCACCCTCATCCTGACTGGTTTACCTTTATAACAGGAGAACATCTTTCTATCTTGCCTACTTCTGGGATCTTGCCAAGTAATTTTAGTTCACAATTATTTAACAAGCATTTTCTACATAACATTCTGCATAACTTTTCCAATATTCATTAGTTACAGGTATTCGCTACATTCCATTGAAGTAGAACACAATGATTCAATATTCAGTATCTGAACATACTGACTGCTTACACCTTCCAGAGCAATACAAGCACATGTAGTTTACTTCTCGGAGCAAAGGGGACGGTCTTTCCTAAATAGGAAGAATGCTACCAGAGGTTGCATTGGTCTCTCTTTGAGCAACAGCATTTGCAAATGCAAATACAGTATTATTTAAGATATGAACCACATTAATTTTCTAATCACTGGTATTAAAATCTATCTGTACAAGAGTGTCAACATAGGGAAGACCCAGTTTAACAAAAAAACTTCCAAAACCCCAGAGAAAATATTTTCCAGGTAAGATTTGGAAAGAGGCACTTCACTCAACTCTTTCTTCCCATTCTTGATTACATCTAATTTTTCATTTATTTGGGTACACAACCCTGGTCACCACACTGAGCTTACACCTGATTACACCACTGCTATGGGACAAAATTACTAAATGCTAGAAGGTGAGAGAAGTTTTCAAATAAATAAAGCCAATAGCCTATAACCATACCCAGTCCTCTGTATCGTGAAAGCTGCTGGTAGATTTGTTTCATCCTCTCAATATTCAGACGGCTTGCCTCTGCATGATTTACCATTGGTTTGGGATAATTAACTCCTATTATACATTTTGCAGCCTTCTGGACGCTCTCTGGGGCATTCCACGGATCATAGATGTATTTTGCAGGGAAACCTCTAAGTACTGGCAAATAACGTCTTAAAAAAAAATTAAAAGGTCATTTTGAGTATAAAGCCACTTGACAGTTTAGGCAACATCCAGGAATTGCTGAAATTTCTGGATTGTGAGTTACCTGATATAATCCCCATTTGGGTCAGTTCTTCTGCCAAAACCCACTGGACAGTAGCAGTGAAAAAACTGCTGGAAGAAGGAACTACAGGATAGCCACATCCAGCTTCCAGCATTCACACTCCAATCTGCGTCAAGTAAGAGCTCTTCAAAGACCTTAAGAAATTAAAGCAACAAGTTAGTATGAACATGGCACACCTTCGAGACATCTACTTTTTCAGGAATTGTTCCAAGTTTCTGATTTCAGCAGCAAAAACCCAGCTCATCAACATAGCAACACTCTTTCTTACCTGGCAACATTCACAGAATGCTCAGTATGCAATTGCAAATACTTACCTAAACATCAAACTCAAGAACAAAAGTGTGATAGCCTGTCTGGCTTTTACCTTGTAAAAAACCTTGTAGACATCTCAAAGCTACAACCAAAAAGTTACACATTCTTGCATAAATACACCCTTAAAAAAAATAAATCCCCAAAGGATGGCTGGAGCCTGACTGCTTGCAAGTGGCATTTGTTCCTTTACGAAGAGTTGCTTCATCACATTACCACTGAGTAAGTTTTGCAAACTTCCAGAAAACAGAGAACATACAAAGCACATTTCAAACTCAAACTGTTGGTCTGAATATCTCAACTTGTGCAGCCCCTTCCACTATGCAAGGAGTCCCACAAGGAGAATTCAAGACTTCAGGGTAGCAAAAATATTCAGAAGTTGTATTCTTGAAGGCCAACAGTTAATCTAGTAAGTCACAGTTTTGAGGATGCACACTTAAATTCCTGGAGGTATATGAACCACCAAGCATGCTGAAGAACAGTGGGACAGATAATGAACTCTGGTCTGAAGACAAAAAGTCTTCTCTGGTAATTGCCACCCCTATTATATAAAAAATAACCCATGAGGAAATTGAAGATTTATGAAGGTTTTACTTTAAATCTGGAGCTCAATAGTTGCAAAACATTACAGTTGCCAGCATTGATTGTTTTTTCATTATTAACACAGACAATGCTAACTTGTATAAAAAGAAGTTTCTCTGCTCAGTCAGATCACTAGCAATACAGGCTAACAACAAATAAAGAGAAGCCTTATTCTTCAAAGGAGAACATTCAAGTACCTTTTATAAAAAGGGTGCACTGAGAAGTAGTTTTCAAAACAGATACTTAATACATATTTTTGAAAGTTCTGATTTTCCTTTCAAACTTGCATCATCTCCAAATGTTCCAAAGAAACCATCACCTTTCTTCAAGCCAACACTAAAACTTAACATCTTACTACTGCCACCCATCTTCAGCTAATATTATTTGAATATGAATTCTAAATAAAGTAATACCATTAAACAAGGATATCTCTCTACATATATTCAATAAGGCATTCATTCTACAGCATACACTGAATAAGTGTTACAAAAGTATCTTTGTCTAAATATCTGCAACTATTTGGAAAAAAAGAAAAGGCTGTTTTGAAAAAATAAGATTTATCTTAAAACACTTTTAAAAAAACATTTTAAATAGAAGGTGACTAATAATGTTACAAGATCTCTAGATGAACATTAAGTGTTAGCACACAACTGTTCCACTAGATGCTGCCATGTAATAAGACTTAGGAAAGAACAGCACCGTGGAAGGCCAGATTAACTTTTGCTAGCTATGGATGTATGAATTAAACATGCTTCCACCGCACAAGTCTGGGACCTCCACATATCTGTATTATTTCAAAAGTAAGAACAAGTTGGCATTTATATGTAATATACAGCTTTGTTGTTTGGCTGAGTTACTTAGGCATGTGCATCTTCAATATCTTTATCTATGAACTGTAAAAGGAAAATTCCTAAAGCAGCTTATGTTGTTTTGTAACCAAGACCTTTTTTTTTTAAAGGAAAGGTATTTGCTTAGAACTGATTTGTTAAGAAAGGTGAAATTTTGTAAGATTGTATACATATATAAATATGAAGTCACAATCCTGATAGCAAGTAAATTCTTTTTTAGATTTCAAAACTAAAAAACTATTTTTAATTAATTATGATTGCTCAGTAAAAGATGTGATACCCTTCTGAAAGTATAAAACTGATTCAAAGGCTGAGATTAAATTATTCTATTCTTTTCTTTAAAAGACTGAAATTTCTAATTTGATCTTCAGCATCTCTTGGATACTTGCATAGAAATGAATTGCACTGAAACTTCAGCCAAACCATGTTGCCCATACTCACACTTCTATCGTTGGATAAAAGGACAGAAATTGCTGAAAGGACATTCTCAGCTTTTACTTTTCTCCCTTTAATTTCTATGGTGCTTTCCCTTCGCAGGGAAGCAGATGCGAGATGTGAACAGAAACTGTTCACACAGCAGGACTGGAATGAAGTTTCAATTACAAGAGTAATCCATGTTTATTTGCCAAAATTTAGGAAGAAATCTCAAATTTAAAAGAACTGCAGACCTATTTTGACTACAAGAAACTCTAATATTCCAATAAAAGGGGGCATTGCACAGGCAAAACTTCAGCACCACGCGTTTATGAGAAGCGATTTCATTTTCATTTAAGGTTTAAAATTCAACTTACACCACACAGTAACAATTCTAGAACGACTAATTGAAACTTTAACAGGCACTTTAAGAAATTCAAGAGTAAGAAACAATACCTTCATTCCTTCTTCCCAGCTAATCCAGAGGTCACCTCGAGTCAAAAAGCATGCTACAGCATGCCGGGCTAAATGATGAATCCAACCTTCTTGACGAAGCTGCGTCATAATCGCATCAATCCAAGGGAAACCTGTCCTGCCTTCTGCCCATTTGGCCAAAGCCTCAGGATTCTTATCCCATGGAATTTGTACACAGATAGGATTCCCCTCCATTTTATCAAACCGTGGATTGTTAGTCGCTGCTGTGTAGAAAAATTCACGCCATAACAGCTGGCCATAGAGGGAGAGGGGAGGGGAGCTGTTCTTTTTTACCTGATCATTAAAGGAAAATACTTTATTAGGCGAAGAAGTAGGCAAAAATCATGGCATCTAAAGTGTGTAGCTGACTACATAGAAATCATACCTTTTTGTACAGATCCGTTAACTTGAAATAAAAGAGACGACAGGACAAACAGCCAAAGCGGAGGTAGGGACTAAGCCCTGTAGGGCTTGCCAGAAGGGAATTTGCATTCATTCGTGGTCTTTCAAAGTTTGCTACCCAAGCCTTAAAAGAACAAAACCAAAAACAAACCACACAGCAATATCAGACTACAGGCTAGGTAGCAACATAAAGGGAGAAATCACTCACTACCTATAACTGAATCCAGACATCTGACAGATGATCACGTTAGCTACGACATCTAGGGGTTCCTTTTGAGTCAGAGGAATCTCTAGAAGGCGATTCATCTCAATGCAGAAGGCATGTACTGCCTTCTAGAACTACCTATCCCTTCCTTTTAAATACAGGGGAAACCTAGACAACTAGCAATATGTTAGCTTTTAGAGGAATTCCCCTTCAGAGTTCCAAGAAGTATGTTTCAAGTAGAATTACCTCCAAAGAAAAAACAATTACATTTTTTGGAGCAGAAAATAGTATACTATTTTCTCTAAAGTATATAGACTAAACTCTCTAAAGTAAAGACTCTAAAGTATATAGTATACAGACTTTCTCTAAAATTCAAATTAAAGACAACCTGCTATCTCCTTTTAAAAGTAAGAAACAGCAACTTGATTTATATCATTTTATCAAGGCCCTGAGTTCAAGTTTGCATTTTTGATTTTTTTTTTTCTTTTAAATGACTTGCCCAATTCCTTTTACATTTCATTGCAAAGAGCAACTACATTTCCCAGATATGTCAAACTTGCAAAGATTTGAAACATACCTTTCGTTCTAAATGTCTTTCCAATCGCGTGAGAGCTTCTGTTTCTCCCCCTGGCCATACCGCAGAAGGCAGACCATCTGTGTCAAAACCTGAAAAACAAATTGAAACAAGGAAATTCCTTGTTTGCTTATACTGTAGATCAACAAAATTCTAGCATGTTGATACTTGACTACATTTTACTGTATCTTGAGAATAACCCTAAGTTGGACACACAGCAAAAGTACAAGTTTTAAAACAGTATGCAATCAAGTCTTATCAAAGCACATTCAATACCTCTAACTTGCAGCAAAATCAATTTTTACTTTTACATTTATATTAATTTACATTACAAGTTTTACATGCTGAATGGTCTTATTTCAATGCTACTTCTTCTGGGTTTTTTTGCACAAAGTGACCTTTCTATCATTTTCCAAATTATTTTCAAGTTCTCAGCTCTGCAATACGTGGGCTATCCCAAAACCACAACTTTTTTTTCTTTTTTTTTTTAAATTACTACTAAGAAGCAACAATTGCTATTGTAATCTACAGAATGTCTAAAAACTTCTTCCATCAAGTTAAAAGCATGAGTGCCATCTTCAGAACATTCCTAGGTTTCATTAACCTTGACTTAAATAACAGATGGGCATTATTGTCAATCTGACGATAAACACATACTTGAGCTGCAAAAGAAAGATGAAAAGAAGGTAACAAGATTTCTTCTACACCCCCACACCTCCCCCAGGATTGTTCACCAGGTGCACAAGATAACATGTCTGCCTGTAGTTTAACCACTGTATGGAAAGATCTTCTCTTCTTAAGAAGGCTTTAAAAGCAAGGCCTGTTGTATGAAGAGTTCAAATAGACTAGACGGAGCAGCCAGAGGTTAGCCAAAATCTGTCCAGACCTTTTTGTTAGCAATTTGGAGGTCACACCACATTTGCTTGTATTTCATGGTGGGGGGAACAGGAAAGCAGGGGAGGGATTCACAGGACAATAACTTGATAGTATTTCTTAAAATTATAGAAACGTAAGACTTTTCTGGCCCCCCCCAACCTAAGAAGCTTCTGAAATAATTATTTGCCTTATTATTATCTTTTTTTGGCATTGCAACGCTACAGGGTTTTTTTTTATTAATTTGTAAAAATGACAGATTAATGACCTGAAGCACAAAGACACCGGATGCTTTTAATACAAAATGAAGTATCAAAGACTATTGATAGCTTAATGACTATTTGGTACCATGGGAAAATGGCTACGCTGTATTACATGATGCCAAACAGTACTTAGTGTAGTTTGATCTGACATCCCATTTAAAAGAAAACAACTAAAACTTACAGAGTTTATTATCCTTTTTTGTTCCTTTTGTATCTCATAATTGGCATCAGTTAAGCAATTAACCATAAGTAGAACCTCTCTCATGGTTATTTTAGAGTGTTATGCTTTTAGTGATAGATTACATCTCACTTGTTTCACAATGTCAAAGCAATCTTAGAACATACCTAGCTCTTCAAGTGATGGGACACCATATTTCTCGTCATGGTCATCAGAAACTGGAGTAGTACATTTTTCCATTACTTCTGGGGTTATAGTCTCCACTAGCATCTCCAGTGGTTCCATTCTACTAATTAAGGTCTGGAATCGCTTGTAAGTAAGAGGAGGCTGTCCTCCATTTAATTCTATTATTCTGGATTGGAAAAAAAAAATGAAAAAAAAAGAAAGGATGTATGTCAGAGAATAGTATATAATAATTATTTTTTTACATAAAATATACACACCTATACACATGCACAAATATATTCTTAGCTGCCTTTAGCATCTTATATAAAATCACAGATATACATAGTAATCCAGACAGTTTGAACTTTACTATTACTATCCTTTTTTTCCCCAGTAGGGAGACATAAATTAACTGTTTACAACCAAGTAAATTATTCTTCACTCCTGGGTTGAGGAAACTCCCTCAAGAACGAATAAGTAATGAATATGGACAGCTCAAGGCAAAGAAAAATACAGATCAGCAAAGCAGATGACAGATCATAGCTACATATGAAGATACATCCAAGTCACCTACAAGACTATGCTATTTGCATTTAAAAAAAATAAAATCTATTTTTCTATTCTGGTATTGAGAACAGTAGTCAATATTACAACTGTCTTAACATGGGGAAAAACTAAGGTGTAGTTTTTACACAATGACTGTTGTAAAAACAGAGTTTCCATATTTTGTATTGTGATGTTAAATATATCTAGAATCTCGGAAACAGGAAAACTTCAAAGAAATAATTTACAAAATGGTAGATGGAACCAACTGTTCATTCGGGGGGGTGCTTGGGTGAGGATGGAAGAAAAGGAATTTTCAATTTAGGGTTAAAAAAAGAAAACAGGCATTGGTTTCAAGACAGTAAATAATTCCCTTTCCCTCCCATATGTCCAGCTGCCTCTCATACATTGGCTTCTAACAGAATAGAATAGGCATCTACCAAAATAAATACCCAATGTTAACAGAAGCCAAGTCATACTTCTGAATAGTTTGCAGATTATGTTTCTATAATAGGGAGCTAATAGTAATCCATTTAAATAGATCTGTGGAAAAATATCAACAAGACATGAAGTAAGGGCAACAATCCCCAATTACTTATTGGATATATAACTGATAGGAAAGAGTTCTTGAAAAATAAAGGACTTTCTGCTAACTTGTGTACAGCAAGTGTAATAAGGACAAAACAATCTAACAAAACAACTAAACAACAACAGATCTTATATTTGGGAGACGTTGCAGGCATGTTTGAGTAACTTTATAATAAAGACAGATAATTAACATGACCACTAAAGAACCCCAAATCAAAACTGTACTTCAGACACAGTTGTGTATCATTTTCTGGAGTTGCAAAGTTCTACTCAGTATGTAATAAAATTTGGATGGATGGATAAAAGAGAAACATAAAACAGATTTGTAGTCTTCCTAACTATAAAGCGCTCTGCATAGAAAGTAGCACACAATATCTAACCAAATACTACATAAAATTGATACTTTTTTTCTTTTTCCTTTTTTTTTTTAAATCAGAGGTAATGGTAACTTACTTGTCGAGGTCATATAATGTATGGGAAATTCGAACAATGACCTCCACTCCAGCTTCACTAGCCAGCTTCTTAATTGCTGCATCTCTTTCCTTCCCAAATGGTTCAGAATCATATTCAATAGAAAGTTTTGCAATATTCCATTCCTGCAACACAAAACAACAATGTGGTCCTTCAGCAACTCGGCTGCTTGATGGAGGGCAAGGGAAAGGAGAACGGGAAGGACAGGGACAAGATGGAACACCAGCTATTACCTGCAGATAGTTGCCAAAGATACGCAAAGGCTCAAAATACATTCAGATACCCAGACTCACAAAAAAAGAAGTCCAACGTTTTGGCATCTAAGTAGGAATCAGGTGTAAAAAAAGCCTCTGTCTCATTACTGTGGGAGCACACAGGAATGGGACAACTGTGCAAATTTTGAAAACTCAGCTCTAACTTTAGGATCCATATACCTTAAGAGACAATAGAAGGAAAAGATGACAGAGGCTATCTTCTGGACATTGATCAGTAGCAGTATCTTGCTCTGCAGAAAAGCTTTTTACATATGCCTGTCAACTTTAACAGCAGAACTGAAGTTTCAGGGGAGGGGACAGCAAAATACCCCAACCCAAACACCACACACTTTCCTTACCTTTTCCAAATTCCTATCCCTCACCTACCAGAATGGACAATCTTCAAATTCTCAATTAAAAATAAATAAATAAATCTGTCTCCTAAAAAGAAGTCACCTTCAAGTCCAATATCCTTTATGTCACAGATGCTGCTATCAAGGCCAACAGTAACAGGTGGGGGAAAAGAAGTGAAGAAAGGGATCAACTAATGGCTAAGGCTTCTGCAACAGCAAGAAAATTGGAAAGGCAAGGTACCCAGAGAATGATCCTAGAAAGCCATCCTGCCAATCAAACTCAGACAAATACCTTTCTAATCCTTCAATCTTAATCAGTTGATTTAAATACACCAGCCAGACTATTTCAGAGAACTGGATTTACACCAAAGAGACAAGGGGCATTCTACGCTGTTCACCTAGGGTGCTGTTTCACTTCTGAACTCTAGCTCTCTCCTAGATAAAGCCCAGGTACACCAACCTTGAGGACAGGCGATTGGAAGGAGTGCTTGCTCTTTGAAAGAAGGCTTGGCTTCTTCAATTAGTAAGTTTGCCAAGACTGACCCAGCAGGCCCTGCATCCTCAAGCAACCTCCTATGCACTCACACAACATTTATTTCCCATTTCATAATGTAAAACCATTGTCTGACAAGTTGCAGCAGATATTTTTCTAAATCTTTCTTTCCTCTGGCATATTAAAAAGAAAACCATAAAAAACGTGTCCAAGAGCCAGAGCCACGTCCTCAAGGGAGCCAAGGAACTCTGAGACAAGTGCTATGTGATGTGAATACACACAGATCACTTCAGCATGAGCCAGGCACTTAGAAGAAGCATGGACACAAATAGCTTTGCACATACTGCTGGATGCTTTTAGCAACACTGATGCATTCAAAGAATTAAGAGATTGTTCCAATTCTATTTTCTTTATGAAACGAGCCCTAAACAGCTAGAGATACAGAGCAGAGCAGGACAAATTGAAGAGAATGAGGCAAGAACCAACCAAAACTTGACTGGTTCAAGTTAACCCACAGGCACCAAGCAGGTGCCTGCTACTAGTGAAGTTGCATCTCTGCAGTCAGATGGAACTGCCATCCTCCAGTTACTTAAAAAAATCCCAACCAAACAAAAAACCAAACAAAAAACCTAAAAGAATTCTGCAAAGACCTGCAAAGTCTACTGATAAAAATATTCTGTTTCTATGCACTACTCCAGAGGATGACAGCAGCTGTCAGCAGCACTGTTAGCTCGTACTGCTGAAAACATGGGACACTGATTTCAGTGTCTTAAGGGAAGCAAAGCTGCTCTGAAGGACTGGAAAGAGGAAAGCAAACAAGTCATATATATGTATGACATATACATATAAATTATCTTACATATATACACACACAAATGGAAGAGCCTAAAGATCCTTGAGGCCTTTTGCAAGGTTAAAGATAGATCAGCACTCTGCCTTTTGAAGGAATTGTCCTTCAGCCTGTGAAAAGGAGAGCCCTACCAAGAAAGAGTTGTGAAACATTTATTCCCAGGAAATCCACAGATGCTGGCACCTGTGATAGGGCTCCTGACACAAGGCTCTACAGAAGTTCCACTATCTCCTACCATTACTTACTTATCTTCTCCCAGCCAAAACACATCTACATGTGTTCTTCAGAGTCAGGATCATTGCTCACCTTTGAGACATTTAATGAGGATGATCTGAAAAGCTTGGTTCAGTGTTATATGCCCTTCACTGCACTGTAAGTGCCTGATGTACAGCTACCGCTCTGGCAAAAGAGGCTGTGAGGTTAATGATACGAGATAGATGCATGTTCCAGGTAGTGTTCAGCCAAAAGCTGAAGTCTTCAAGAGCTTCAACAATGTCTCTTATTTGTTCAAGGATAGAGGATGTCCTGAAAAGACCCTCAGTGAACAAATATACGATAAAGACACTTTTTGGTAATCTGAAGAACCAGAAGACAGACAGATGTGAATGTTCTTTTTTGATTGATGTACACTAAGTTATTTTCATTACCTTCTCGGCACTAAAATTAATATTCTGAAAATGTGGCACTCCAATGCTGTTAGGCATAGAAAGATCAGCCTAGTAACAAGATCTGAAAGAGGAGTTGTCAAAGTAGCCATTAAAGTGTTTAAAAAAACCTTGTCTCAGGTCACTCAAATCCAGAAGGCAACACACACGACAGCAAGATCTTTGCCCCTACTTAAATGCAATCAAACCAAATTTGGTAGGTAGGTATAACAAGTGAGTATCTGGGGAGCTGCAAGCAGCAACTATTGCCACAGTGTTCCTGCAGGGAATTTTTCACTGAGGGGAAATCAAGTAAAGACCAGTCAAGAGTATCATCCAGTTACCATTTCACAACTAAAGCACAAGAATGAAGATGGAAAGGTGAGTTTTGGTTGAGTTTTCAGCTTGGTGTTGAAGACTTGGGGATAAAAATCTTGAACAGATGATCTCTTGGGAAAAACAGATATTTATTTTTTTTCCCTGAGCAGTCTTGCTCACCTCAGTCACCTCAATCCAGTCATTCTGTAAAAACTTTTAAAATCAATCTACAAAGTGTTCATTTTTACTACCCTATTATAGTATTGTTACCTTAAATACATTATTACCTATGGAAGACAAATCAGTATCAGTAACAATCCATCACAGCTTTAATTTGCTCAATAAGACCCTTTCCCACAAAAACCTTAAACTTCTTTGACTAGAAATTGCTTTTTACCAGTACTATGCTTTTACCAAGTCTACTACTGGCAAAAAGCTTATTAGATCACTTTTAATGGCCAAAAAGCAACCACAGCAGATATTTGGCCTAAATAAAACATTGCTTTTACAGGTCAGGCTTTGAACTTGGATTCATGTACACAGAATTATATTTCAGCATTTCAAAGGGAACCTGGAAAGGAAAATTTAGTAATATATAGTACCTACACTTAGCAAACCATTAGAAATCAGTTCAATTTCTGGAAATAAAGAAACCAAAACCTGTAAAGTCTAAGAGCAACTCAATTCAGTTGGTGATATGCACAGAGGGGGAAAACCCATCCTAACAAAAACTACCTTAAAGACAAACTGCAAGGATAGTTAAGTATTTGCATGGATAACAACCTGCACTGAAGTATATAGTACAAGAAATATTTCTAGTTGAAATTAGTTTGTCAGTCATATTTATGGATAGAAACAACAACTGCAAGGTGGCATTTACCTTAAAAAGTCTGGGGAAAACATCTGCTGGCTGTCCACGAATAACAAACAAACGTGAATTCAGTTTCCGTAGATTGGCATCAAGATCCTCAAGACACTGAAGCAGGAATCTGCAAGGAATTGTAAAGAAATATTTATTTTCTGAGGCAAACCAGACAATTTTACAACAGAAAAAGGGAACCAAGAGGAACAATCCAACAAAGATTATCAGACCTTCAGTATTTGGCACATATTTTGGTGATGCATGGCTGTTCACATCCTAATTACACTTAGCTTACAGTAATTCAATATCATATAATATATTCAACAATACATAATTCAGAAAACCAAACTGCACTGTCATTTAAGTTTTGACCTCAACACTATTCAGCTCTGGAGTGGACTAAAACATATTCAAGTCTTAACGAAAACTAGAAGCATCTTGTCACTCTAAAGAAAAAAGCACACCACAGAAAAAACAAACAAACAATCAGCTGTTGGCATACCACTACTAAACTTAATCCAAGTCCTTCTTACAACACAGCAGCCTGAACTGTTACTAAAAACAGCATACCAGAGAACTACATGGTCATAACTATCCCTTTGGCTTTCATTTATAAAAATAGCCTCCTATATAACAGTTTAATGCATCTGGGCTGCAACCTCGCCTGAATTATTTAATGAGCAAATCAGCAAATAAGGGGAAAAAAAAAAGGGGGGGGGGGGGGGGGGGGGGGGCAAACTTTCAGGGCTTCAAGAGAAACAGGTAGTTGCACAAAGGATGTTGAAGCAGGTTCACATGTGCAAAGATTTATTGGCAGGTACAGTAACTAAAAACAACTCCAATGGTGAAAGTTGTTTGGGGGAAGAACTAAAAACAAAAGGAAGGAGAGGAAAAATGAAAACTCTCCCTTGCGACCAGCCAGAAAGAGAGATGCTGGAGGTCCCCAGATGAGTGGCCTTCCCCTGGACTCCTCCAGCGTAATAAGCGGCTTCTCCACAATATTTTTCCTCATAGTAACAATACAGTTTTCACCAGGAGCTGCTCAAACCCTGTCAGCTGTGCTTACTTACAACACTGTTGGCACTCACCAAAGCGCACGTTGATCAGGACAGCTGATGAGTCAGAGCCTGCCAGTCATTAGCCTCTGTGCACACACATTATTGGATCCCCTGCCATAAACCAAAAGCTACACCCAAAGGGGGGGAAAAAAAAAAAAAAAGAGGAGATTCCCACACTACAGGCCTTTATTCCTGAGAAAGCGAGCCTGCTGTAGCAAGGATAGCACCACAGGAGCAAGCACCCGAACCAACGCAGGGAAAGCAGTGCCACAGAGGCCTGGAGACACTGCGCCTGCAGCCTGGGTGAAAAGGTGCAGAGCTACCAGGGAAGGGCAGGCTGCACCACTGCAAGTGCCCAGAGCATTACAAAGACAAAGGCACCAAGCAACCAGGTTTACTAAAAGCAGGAGTTCATAACACACCTAAGTTTTTAAGAATGATTCCTAAAAAATAACCAGTTACAATGAAAATGCTACACCTCCTAGGAGGGATATAGCGTACATGACTGTCGTAAAGCTACCAGCATTTTTTATATTTTCTAGAGATTTAGCAATATGCAAGCAATGCCTGCCTAACACACAGTGCCTCCAACTTTATATGGAAAAGAATTATAAAAATCAACATATAGAAGGCTGGCAGGAAAACCCCCTAGCTGCTATTAAATGCCAAAAATGCATGGCTCACTTGACCTGAAAGGGTAACAGAAAGCAAGTCTGAGAGGAAGCCAGTGTACGAGAATACAACTGCTTCCTGGCTGGCAACTATGCTTATATGTTTAATGACTGGAACAAGCCAAAAATATCTAATTCTCTCATTTTGCCGAATTTTATTTTGAAAAAAAAAAAAAATAACCTCTGGAGTAGCAAGATCATGAAGGATATGCTGTATCTAAAAAGAAACCTGTGTACACTCATTTAGTTAGAAACCACAGAGGAGTCATTTTAAGAATCAGATGAGAATCACACATGCTTCTAGCAGACAGAATTTGGGCCCCACATTCCCAGGCCACAGTCACTTTCAGATGGACTCTGAAAGGTACAGCTTCATTTTGTCTTTTTTTCTTTTTTTGAAAGCTGGAATGACAGACCTTATCACTAATCTTATCCACCTGAATCTTGCTTTCAAAGAGCATGTGCCTTCACATATACTTCACAAAGAGCTATGAAGACAAACTGCAATAGCATCCTGGATGCCTTTGGAACAGTCCAGGAAAGGTTGGAGTTTTTTTGTTTGTTGGGGTTTTGTTGTAGTGGTTTTTTGGTTTTGTTTTTATTTGTTTTTTAACTTTGTATCACAGAATATAGGGAAAGGGTACGAAGAGAAATTGGCAACATAAACTGCTCATAACTATTCAAAGTAAAAATCTGTCTTTCAGGAAATTGTTAGGGTTTTTTTCCTATTTGCATCTCAGTTGCCTCTAATTTCTCAATAACACACAACCCTAACATACACCTTATAGCCTGGACTTGGCACAAAATCCTATTCAAGGAGATTACATGCACTGACCCAGTCTTCAATTCACATCCAAGATCCCTAAACTTGCCCTTAATACTGTTTAATCTCTATTTTGTTGGTTCCCCAAATCCCCTCTATTATCTCTCTTAACTATCTCTTACCACACTCCTGCATTTCAATCTCCATAAAACTCTTTCATGTATTTAACAAACATAATGTTGTAGACACAAATTGTTAAATATATGTAGGAAGGCAGCAGTAGAGTGGCCAGGAAGACACACATTCCTCCTGCCTGAACAAAAACAGAACAAATGAAAAACAGCCAAACCACAGTCTGAGTTGCAAGACTGTCACTGAAAGCATATTGTTCAAAAATAACTGATCAAATTAAACCCTAGTGACCCTGCAATATCTACAGTAACAGCAATGCAGAAGAATACTGCTTTTGACTTTCAGAACACAAATTCAGTTTACAAGTGGTTACTTGGAATAAGCATGCACTTTATTAAGCATATTTGAATATTTCAGTCGGACCAAATGTGTTTTAACAAAATGTGCTGCAAATAAGTACTCATCTATTTTGTTCTCACCAACTATGTTTATGCTATACTACATCTGAAGGCATTTTCTCATTAATGTGTTAATAAAATTTGTCAAAAAGCAGTGCCTTTACAGATTTGCCTTCCTCAATTAAAAATGAACCTTCCTAAACCTTTACTTCTAGATACAACCACTACCAAGAAGATTATAGTTGAATCAACTGCTTGTCATAACCAAAATTTTCACCTCCTCTTTTTCTCATGAGTACCTTCAGAATTTGCAGAAGCAACACAGCATCTTTACTAAGGTTAAATACATGCTAATTAACACCTAGCTTCAGGTATATCCAGGTAAAAATTAGTCTGAATTTAAGGAAGGAAAATTCTACCTTTCAGAACTTCTGCATTCATCTAACGTGTTAACATATGCCTATGTGAATAGGCCTACATGAAAGGAAATTTTTTAATTGTACCAACTCCCTGGGACAACTTCTAATTCCAGCACTTTCTCTAATTTTGGCATGGCATTGTAATGCATTGCATTTATCACCTGTCCTAGCAAATTACCATTTCATCTATAACATACACATGTCAGGGAAGAGTAATAACATGTCCACAACATGCACACCCCCACACATATTAAGCATACTAATAGAAAAATAATAAAATTATTCTCAGCATCCAACACACTGTCACAGTGAATTATTACCGGATCTGGAAGAGAAGAGTTTTTAGTTTTCCAGGGTATCATTTTGACTGGTAACACCTGTTCGCAAGTGAAAATAGTTCTGAATGATTCTAATGCCATGCATGGGCACTTACTGCAGCACAGGAACGTGCAGGTGTTTGCTCAGTGCAGACGTTTAAACATAGTTAAGAGTAGCATTCTAGCACAGACAAGGCAAAATTATTTGAGCTTTCTCTCTGAAGATACACCAAAATGCTCACACATTCCTTTCACAGTATAACACAAATGAAAATGAATGGTATATTAGTCTGTGAACTGAAACAAAGTATAAAACCTCCAAGTCATAAAAAGTAATTTCTTTTCAGTATATAAGCTCTTGAGGCAAAGTTTCTTCACAGCAGCTACAAAGTAAAAGCTACTAGGCTTGAACTCTATTACACTTTACACCAAAGTGTGGCAATTAGGAGCTATTTAAATCTCTCCCTACAGTAACAGGTCACGCTTCTGAGTCTGCGATCTAAAACTTTTTCCTCTCAACCTAACAGTCAATGGGAAAGCACTTTCTTTTTCACTTTGAATGAACATAAAAACTGCATGACATGACTTCATTAAAAAGACACAAATAGAATGCATGGATTTTTTTTTTTTATCAGATTAGAGCATCAGCCCAGGTTTCTGCATCTGGTCTTCAGCTTCCCTTGGACAAACCAGAGGAAGGAAAAGTTCACCATTAATTTCACAGTAGCAAACTATGTGAGGTACATACATGACTAAGGTGATGGAGGGAGGCAGAAAAGACCTACTTATTTTAACACAGGGAAGATGCCAATGCAAAGCATACCTGCCTTCTTAGAGGGCATTGCACACATTTTGCTCAGGGTCATCTAATTACGATAGCATTTTCATGAAAGCTTCTGAAAACCACATTCTTTAAAAAGACATGCATGTAAAATCTTAGCTGTTTAATCCAAGAAACTCCGCAGTCTTCCCTGCTGCCAATCACGCAGTCTGCTTGGGGTCTGAAATCTAAACTAAATGTTCTGCCCCCCTGCGTCTTAGGGGTGACTGCCAGAAACCGGTTTGCATAATACAGATCATAATTTTAGCTACCATGCAACTGAAATAAACTGGTACCATCAAGGCAGAAATTCAAAAAGTTGAATAGCTAATTGTTGACGCAGTTAACCATTAACAAAATGAACAAAACTAAGCACTATATCACGCAGCCTTCCTGACTCTGCACTATTAACATGATTAAAGACTTTCTCCAGGGAAGTCGTCAGGAGCAGTCTGTTTAAAAGGCAGCATTTTTATTTAGGAGATTTGCAAGAAGGATACTTACAGACACGCTGTTTAAGGCTACTGTTAAGTCTTGTTTGGGGTTATT